CTCGAGACGACTATTCTAGGTGAGTAGCAGGAGGGGGTGGGTGGGATGGGGGGAGAGTTAAAATGTATATTTTGTAAAGTTTTAGCCATTCCCTCTCAGCCGTTTCCCCTTATTTATTTTTAAAATCTCTCACACTATTTCATAGGCCTCTGAAATTAAACCCTTCCTTTTAAAAATAAACCATGGAAACTTTCTTCCTGCTTTGTTCTTAATGTCTTCTGACCCAGCTTGGCTTTTTAAAATTATTATTATTATTATTAATAATAATGTTTATTTCTTAATCCTCATTCCTTGGGCAAAAAAGAAAAAAAAAGTAGGACATGCAGTTGAGTTGCGTCAAACACCCGTTGTGCTCAGCTGTGTTGTGAGAAACCCAAAAACTTTCCATTACTCCAGATTTAGACATGCATATATATTAATAGCACTGAAATGCATATGTTTCCACGGGAGCAGGGAAATTGGTCTGAAATTTATGTGTATCTATCTACATTATCCTAACTTCCAAATTCTTTCCCTCCCTTGCTCAGCCCCACACTGTCATCTATTAATTTCAGAGAAATTAAGCTTCCAAGAAGAGAATTCCACAATATGTAACTTATTCTGGCTCAGGGAACCATTCTTTGTAGGTATTCTGCCTAGAGGCTGTGATTCTCCCTTTCCTCTTGCAGATCCCTTTTCTTTCCATGGGGCCCTCCTGCCTCCCTGTCTTTCCATTTGTGTGTACCTTCAAATCAGTTTTTTTTTTCCTTTTGACTCCAGGCGACTGCCTGGACAAGTCCCTGCAGTTTTCTTGGCAAGGTTTCAGAAGCAGTTTGCCCTTGCCTGCTTCCCAGGGCTGAGAGAGTGTGACTGGCTCAAGGTCGCCCAGTTGGCTCCGTGCCTAAAGTAGAACTAGAACTCGTGGTCTCCACGTGTCTAGCCTGATGCCTTAACCACTACGCTAGGCTGGCTTTTCCCATTTATCTCTTCCTTTTTAAAGCTCTAACTGATAAAGTTGGATTTAGCTTTTAAAATTAGATCTTGCACCAAAGGTTTTTCCACCCAAAATGTGCTGGCCTGAATCCAAAGCCCTAACTGTGGCAGAACAGGACCTCTCTTCTTAGAAGGCATGGTTTTTCCAGCCCTGTTCCCAGTGGGCCTCTTCTGGACTGGCACCAGATGCTTATAAACAGTGAGTACAATGCAAAGATAGGGCCTTCACACCTCCATGGTCAAGCTGCTTTCATTTACAAAGCAATCCTACATCAGTCTCTTGATGGAACTATTACTCCTCTGTTGTAGCCAAGATGGGAGATAAGGCAATGCTTCCTTCATTTTACCTCCATTTTTTCCCCTTCCCCAGGGCCCAGGTACGCTAGGGAAGTAGAGGTAAAGGATCCTGCATGGTTATTGCATCTCCAAAAGGTCCAAGACTCTGAAATGCTTTTTGAGCTGAAAGAAGCAGGGTGTGCAGAATTCTTAAAGATGGTCCCCAACCTTCTTGGGGCAATATAAACACAGTTACTAGTAAGGTAGAAAGGCAGTGAACTCTTTTCTGTCGAACTAACAGAACTTTTGAGCTGTTGAGACTGTTGGGAACTGATCCTTGCCTGGTGGAAATATTGGCACCAAACCTTTTACTGGCATTAGGATTCCAGCAATTACATGACTTCACCATTATTTTCTTCTGTCCTTGGAGATAGCAGTGTGGCTATAAAGCTTTCAGCTGAGTTGTTTTCCGAGCACTGTGGCATCATTTTCCTAAGCAAATTAATCTGATTTGCTGACAGGTCACCTTAATTAAAGCCTTTCTGTGGCATAGAAGTTTACTTGAGTGACAGAATTTTTTTTTATCTGTTGTTTCTACATTACCAATGCTATTTTTTTACTTCTTCCCTGTCTGTAAGAATTGTATGGAAAGGAAAGAAGTGATATGTAAATGATGAATAACAAACTGGTAGTTAATATTTTAGTATCATCTGATCAATATTTGATTTCTCTGGAAGCATCCTGGAACATCTGAATCATATGGGCAACAAGGAAAGGACATTAAAGCACTGTAGAAAATAGATACAGGAAACTTACCAGCTGGAGAGACGGTGTGGATCTCCTAAAACAGGGTTCCTCAACCTTGGCAACTTGAAGATGTGTGGACTTCAACTCCCACAATTCCCCAGCCAGCATGGCTGGCTGGGGAATTGTGGGAGTTGA